TGTTTGTGCTCTCGCGCGCTCTCGCTCTCTCTCTCTCTCTTTCTCTGTCTGACAAAGAAATAAATAAAACCTTTAAAAAAAAAAAAGGAAAGAAATCAAGAAACAAGGGTCAATACTTTGGGCTGGACAATGCTGGAAGGTTAGCAAAACTTATTTCTATGTGTGAGATCATTAAATACATCTTAGGTATCTCTTGTTATAGTATCTTTAATCTATTTTAAAACATGTATACTGAGGGAATGTAATAGTGTATATGAGCCAGTTAACGCTTCAACTTTAGGGGCAGTCAACTGTCCTAATACCTACACCTCAGGGATGGTAAGCCAGCACTATGTAAGAAAGGCCACACTTCCTCAATTTCTTTCATAAGTATTCTGTAGTTTTTAGAGTATAGATCCTTTACCTCTTTGGTTAGGTTTATTTCTAGGTATCTTATGGTTTTGGGTGCAATTGTAAATAGGATTTATTCCTTAATTTCTCTTTCTCCTGTTTCATTGTTTGTGTATAGAAATGTAACTGATTTCTGTGCATTGCTTTTATATCCTGCCATGTTGCAGAATTCCTGATCATAGAGGAAGGGAGGGAAAACTGAATGGGAAGTAATCAGAGGGGGAGAAAAACCAAGAGAGGCTCTTGACTATAGGAAACAAACTGAGGGTTGCTGGAGGGGAGGTGGGTAGGGGTATGGGGTAATTGTGTGATGGGCATTAAGGAGGGCACCTGATATAATGAGCCCTGGGTGTTAAATGCAAATGATGAATTATTGAACTCTACATCTGAAACTAATGATGTACTATATGTTGGCTAATTGAATTTAAATTATAGAAAAAGAAAGGCCATACTTCAGGGGCAGTTATTACAAGTTACTAGATCAGTAACTGAGGCTTTGCTAATTAGCATTCTAACATGTCAAGTGGGCATTTACTGGTGAAACTAAAAGGATACAAGACACGTGGAGTAGCTAAAATCTCTTAGAGATGCTCCATTCCACCCCTGTGCACAGACAGCATGCAAACTTATGGGAGTCTATAGCTTGGATCTTTAAGGTCGCTGCCAGAGGCTTAGTCCCTAACTGGTCCTCGGGCCAGCTACCGGCTGAGTTCGATTTCTAGTTGCCAGCTACAGATTATAAGGGTAACAGATTCCTACCTCTGTGATGTGTTTGCATCAAATCGGAACAAATCTTTCAGACAAGATATTGAGGAGAGTCCCAAAAGGACAGAGAGCTAGACAACCTCAGGTTTACAAAGCAGGCTTTTCAAACTGTTTAATTCCCTGGCCAATAAATAGTTGTATTATAAATATACATACATGAAGGAGAATGATATCAGAAACTTTTTTCCATTTGATCCGATAGTAGAGTTACTCTACTCCTGGTGTGCCAAGCAATATTACTCACAGCACCCCCTTCCACTCTCAAAGGTATCATGGTTTGGATGATAAATTATATGGATATTCTACCTAGTGGTGAGACTGTAGGGGATAAAACCAAGCCCTATGAAATTTCAAACTGCTCTGCAGGTACTATTTTCTACCAAAACGATCCTGGAGCTGTGACGACCACACTGACTCCCGAAGTACGGATGGAAGGCTGTATACAAACTTCAATCTCTTTTCACAAAACTCAACTACCGAGCTGTAGGATACTCTCATCATGAAAATAACAGGCTAGATGATTTGAATCAATCCTCCCATTGAGAGTAATTTAAAATGCAGGATAAAATATATTTATCAAATATCTGAAAAGCATCAAAAAGCATCCAAGAGGGGAATTACCATACTAAACAAGAGAGAATGCAGAAAAATTAGCCAGTTCAGAAACTGCTTTAGCCCTATCCCAAGGAACCTGAACTTTCTATTGACAGCCTGATGGAGCCAAAGGCCAAACATTAAGGCTCAGGGCCCACACAAAGTAGAGATTCTAGACTTAGGTGACAATAAACTGGAACTCAAAGGGCTATGCACCCAGGGAAATCAACTCAGCAATGGATGAGCAGTTAGCATTGCCTCAGGGGATCCCTAGAGCTTGAATTAATGAGATCCTAAAGCCATAATGACCCTAAGCTCTAGCACACTAGGTAAATCATTTCTGAAAAGCACCTTCATCCTAGACTTTAAATTATTCTAAACCATTGGAGTGTTTTTGTTTTGTTTTGTTTTGTTTTTTTCCAGAGGTGGCACACCACAGTTTCACCCTTCCCATTGGAAAACTGTGATAATTTACAGAATAGTTTAGAAGATACCAGAACACATTGACAACTGCATTAGAGCTGCTCATGTCCTCACTGTAACCTTTGTGTGCATGCGCGCGCGCGTATGCACCTGCACACACGCAGTTAATTATTTGGGACTGCCTCACTTGTATTGCCACATTAGTAAACTTAGTCAAGAAACCGATCCTTTCTTCCCTCTCTGCCCTTTGACTCAATGTGACACTGAGAACTCTACATGTGCTATTGCAGAAAATAATCTTTGAGTCTGAGCAGGGTGTGGTGTTCAGCGGACATGGTGGCAAGACCACGATTAGACGTTTGGCACCTCTAATCCAAGCCTTCCATGCTAATTACTCTAACATGGCGCTTTAAAAATAGAAACATTACAAAGTAAACTCAACCCTAACCTTTTTTGGAGTTTTGGTGAGAGAAAAGAGAGAAAGAGAAAAAAAATTCCTGCTGTGTTACATATACTCTGTTTTCAAGATACCAATGCTGGTTGTAGAAAAAGCACAATCTTGAAAAAGCAGCTCACATGAATGAAAAGAACAGGACCAGAGAGTGAAGAGGGCTGGGCCCAAGTTTAGTCTGTTCCACTAACGTGCTTTGCAACCTTGAAAAAGAAACCTAACCACCAAAAGGTCTTCGTTTGCTCTTCTACAAGATGATACTAGAGGTCTGGATAAATTCTGTGGCTGCTTCTACAACCCAAATCAATGATGTTTATGCTTCTGTGGATTTCTCAGTGGAGGCATATCCTGATAGAAGTCAAGTTTATTCTAGAGGCCACGAGTGACTCTCACATGTAAATCATGGTTCCAGACAACATACTGAGACAGAACAGGACCTTTATTCACTGCAAGGCATACCACTTGCTTCTTCAGACTTAATTTTTAAAGCGGCTGCTTTTTAGAAAACCATGTACAGGGTTTCAAAGTGACTCAAGCAATCACTTCACATCCTAATAGGATAAAGTTTATGCATAATTCTGTGTGACCCTTCAACTACTGACGTTCATGCCATGTTATTGTTAGCATTGCATGTTAAACTAGCAAGTTTTCAATGAACTCTCACTGGCTTTACCACAGACACAGATGTTAGGCGGACTCCTTTGTTCATAAGGTTCTCATTATTAACTCAACCCGGGTTGAATATTTGACTGAAGGAAAGGACCATATCATTATTTTCAGATTTCATTCTATGACTTAACTGGGCTACATCTGCCAGCTTTAGAAACGCCAAGTACTTCTTGGCGCCAGCCTTGGCGTCCTGTTCTGTGACTACTACCCCCAGTGCTTCAGTTTGAGGAAGTCTCCTCACCATCAAAACAGTTTAATAAAAACTTAAATTATGATTAAGAGTTACTCATCAATTGACAGAGCATACCAGGCTTGCGCTATTTATGAATTATTCCACACAGTATTTTAAGGCTAACAAATAGAATCCACATTCATAAAGGGGTAAGCTAGAAAGCCAGTTAAATGTTTTCATGATTTATAAAGTCTGGGTTATACTTGAAACCATATTTCTTTAATAGGTAAACTGGCATTCCCTTGGATAAATCAATCTGCTTTAAATCTATTCTAAGGCTCTGGACAGCTTATGGGACGTTCTGAATATAAATATATTTCCTCTATTCACCTTTGGGCAATATCTCTCAGCATAAATGTGATAGGAAGATATGGCCCAGGAATGCCTGTCAATTATAGGGTGGATTTCAAGTATTTAAAGTATTGACACTAAAGCCACTTACAAAACGTTGAAATCAGCCTAACTCTAAACAGGGAGAATATTTTATAAGCCTGGTTAAAGATATAAATTAAAACAACAACATGAAAGAAATAACAACAGGCCCTGATATGACTGCTTCCATGTGTCTGGATCACCAACAGTAATATAAGTGGGCAAGAATCATTTGAAACTATCTTTGATGGTTATTAGAAAAAAATAATTCAATCCCTCTATGCATAGAAAAGCCCAGGGGTTTACATATAGTCATACCAAATGACTGAAAGAAGAGGGACCGTTTTCCACCCTAAAAAGTTATACATAATAAATTCGCTTTTGTGATTCTTTCAGCATCTCATCGTATCTGGGGAAGGGAGGACAGGTGGACTCAGTGAACATGCCCCCTCACCTGTCCAGTGCTTTATAGACATCCGCAACAAACAATCATTCAGCCTCTTGAACACTTGAGTTTTCTTTTAATTACTATACATGGCAATCCAGTCTACTATTCGACATCTCTAATCATAAAAACATTCTTGAAATAATAACAATAAAATAAGCATCCATGTAACTCCTACATGGTTGAAGCCAATCTGTTAGAAAATTTATGTTAGCTCATCAGACACTTGAGATTCAAGTCTCAACATATTTATCCTCCAGTATACTATTTTCAGGTATTTTCAATAGCTAAGACATACCACTATCACTCCTGTTTATCAGTCACTCTTTGAGCACGGCATCCCGAAGTAAATACCTCAGATATAGTCTAATTTGCTACAGAGCACAGTGGGACCAGTATTTCTGATGAATTAAAAATGAAATCTTTACTAATGCAGATGAAATACGTCACATGAGAATCAGGCTTTTAGCAAAATATAGAAACAACATAAAAGTCAAGTTACTAGTAACCCCTCCAGAAATGATCATGGTAGAAAGTTTGGTAGCACTTACAGGAAACAGACTAATCTCAAAAACTCTAAAATAACTTTACCACCAAACAGCACATCTGTCAGCCCAAATGTGGGTATTCAAAAGCTGAATTTTTATGTTTATACTCACCATGTTGTATATCTTTCATATCTAAATGAAGGCTAGACATTAATATTCCAACTGCTTGTGATCTTTTGTTGCTTAATAACTTGACCACCTGCTCAAAGAAAGGAAAAGGGGAAAATGTTAATTTGAATTCCAATGATATACTTGATAACATGTTCTTTTTAATCCTAAATGAAGAACATATAGCTTAACATCATTACTTTAAGTATTCCAACTGATCTGGAAAGAACTTTCATGTTTTATGTCTTCCATCTTCAAAATCCACCATCCTCAGCCATCAGCCTCAACGGCAGGCTCTTTACCAGCTTTTTAAGAGACTGATCTGGGGGCGCCTGGGTGGCTCAGTTGTTAAGCGTCTGCCTTTGGCTCAGGTCGTGATCCCAGGGTCCTGGGATTGAGCCCCGCGTCGGGCTCCCCGCTCGGCAGGAAGCCTGCTTCTCCCTCTCCCACTCCCCCTGCTTGTGTTCCCTCTCTCACTGTGTGTCTCTCTCTCTGTGTCAAATAAATAAATAAAATCTTATAAATAAATAAATAAATAAATAAATAAATAAATAAATAAATAAATAAATAAAAGACTAATCTGTCAGCAAGTCAAATTTCTAATAGCTTGGTCTCCATGAAATAACATTTACACATTTGAAAATTTGCAGCCTGAGATTTTAAGTGTTCCTTTTATAATGTTGGGCCATAAAACACTGGTCAACAAGCAAAGGGTAAAGTCTACACACAGAGAATCTGTTAGATCAGACCTGTTTGAGCACAAAAGAGAAAACGTCCTTTGATTCTGATCCTTCATAAAGCTCACTGTCTTACTGGCATTCCCTCTCATTCTTCATTTGGCCCACGTTTTGTGGGGAACTTTCCAACTAATTAATAGAGGAATACAAGCAGCAAATCCAAAGAGCTATGTCTGCTCAATCTCAAATCTGTCTTTCCAGAGAGTCCTAACGAGTCAGTCAATCCACACACCCCACAAGAAGTTTTCCTAAAATAGAGGTGGGCATGCTGCTTTGGACATACAAATTTAAACTATGTTTTCCAGATACTGACACACCACTGATAAATCCTGCTTATGAAACCATTATCCCAGGTCCTGAAGGGCAGCAATTTCTATTTACTGTCATGGTTTTGTTATAAGTCTGTTTAGAAAAAACACTGGAGGAAAAGGGGGAAAAAAGGTTATGGTCCGATTATCAGAAGTGATAGCTGCCCTAATATCTATCACATTTGTTGACCTTGTCTTTCTTTTTTAAGTTGTGCCAGTCAGTAAACTAATAAAATAATCATGTCCAGCTGTCACACAAAGTTTCAGAGTAAAACAATATTCTTAACAGCAATAATAGCATTCTTGGTTCCCCAGCAGGGATGGGGGTAGAGAATAAAACAAACGGACCAACCACAAAAACCTCCACACTCATTTCTGCAAGCTTCTTGTAGAAAGGAATAATACCCCACAAGAGACCGTGCTTCCTCAAAAGAATATATATGTATACACACACACATACACATATGTATATAAATTGTGATTCTTAATTTGCTCTTGAAACATTTTATTAAAGTTCAGCTACAATATTAGCTTAGAACTTGAATACAAATCCATTCATACCCCAAGTATTCCTATCAATAATGTTATCTTCTTCAGAAGTGAATAGAAACTTAATATCAGAAAAACAAAAGGCATGTATTCTGTCCTCAGAAACATTTTCTAATGTCAGGTAAATACAATCTGGGTCTGATCCGTGGTACTCTGACAAAACTAAATGCATTGGCATCCATATGTCAATTGACCTTTCTGCAGTGCTGACAGGCAGATCACACCCTTATAGAAACTCTTTATTCCACAGCTCCTGGCAGCCCTTCTCGGGCCTTTTCAAGGTGAATTATTCTGATTTCACCTTAAATACTGGCATATTTCAGAGTTCTGTTCTGAGTACTTTATTCTGTTGACTTTATGACCTATAATTTCTCCTCTATAGACATACATGCCAACACTTATAAATTCATTCTTATAACTGTAACTTCAACTCTACAGTATCCTACTTTCCTAACAGATATCTGCACATAAATCTCCATTTGACATGTCTAAGACCAAATTCGTCATCAGGTCCACCCCAAAACCTATCAATCTTCTCCTCTTTTATTCCATATGTTAAGATAATGGCACCACAATATTCCACCCACCTACTAAAGTTAGAAATCTTGAAATCAATCTAGACTCTTCTAGACTAGACTCTACCTCTACTTCATCTGTATATTCTGGTCTGTTAACAAGTCCTGTCAATTGTAACTACTCTATATTTTTGGAACCCACCCTCCCTCTTCAACTCTATTGTCAGCATTTATTTCTATGTTTTATCTTAATAGATCAATGCAAAAAAATTCTAACTAGCCTCCCAAATCTAGTGCAGTAGCTCTCAACGTGTGCTCCCTGGAACAGCAGGCATGATCATCACCTGGAAACTTTTTAAAAATGCAAAATCATGGGCCCTATCACAAACCTACTAACCAGAAAGTGTGGGCAAAACCAGATTTTCCTCAGTCTGCACTTCAAAAAAACCTTTTAAGTGACTCTAGAATCACTGATAACTCTCACTGCTTCCTGTCCATTCTCCAAACTGATTTCCAAGTACCATCTCTAAGAGTGCTGCTATTTGCATGTCCTTCCTATCTCTTTAAACCTGAGTGGCTCATATTTACACATTAGTCTTTTAAAAGGTCGTACAGACTTCCAGTCCATGAGCATGGAATATCTTTGCATTTGTTTATGTCATCTTCAATTTCTTTCATCAATTTTTTATAGGTCTCAGAGTATTAGTTGAAAGAATTAATATTGCTAAAATGTCCATACTACCCAAAGGAATCTACAGATTCAATGCAATCCCTATCAAAATACCAATACAATTTTTCATAGAACTAGAACAAATAATCCTAAAAGTAGTATGGAACCACAAAAGACCCTAAGTAGCCAAAGCAATCTTAAAAAAGAAGAACAAAACTAGAGGTTATCACAATCCCAGATTTCAAGGCACACCACAAAACTATAATAATCAAAACAGTATGGTACAAAAACAGACATATAGATCAATGTAACAGAATAGAAAACCCAGAAATAAACCCACAGTTATATGGCCAATTAACCTACAACAAAGGAGATAAAAATATATAGTGGGGTAAGACCGTCTCTTCCATAAATGGTGCTGGGAAAACTGGACAGCTACGTGCAGAAGAATGAAGGTAGACAACTTTCTTACACCATACACAAAAACAAACTCAAAGTGGATTAAAGACCTACATTTGAGACATGAAACCATAAAACTCCTAGAAAAGCAACATAGGCAGTAATCTCTTTGACATGGGCCTTAGCAACATTTTTCTAGATATGTCTCCTCAGGCAAGGGAAACAAAAGCAAAAATAAATTATTGGAACTACACCAAAATAAAGAGCTTTTGCATATGAAGGAAACCATCAACAAAATGAAAAGGCAACATACTGAGTGGGAGAAGATTTTGGCAAATGATATATCCAGTAATATATAAAGAACTTATATAATTCAGTACCAGTAATAATAATAATAACCCAATTAAGAAATGCGCAGAGAACCTGAATAGACATTTTTCCAAAGAAGACATACAGATGACCAAGAGGCACAAGAAAAGATGCTCAACATCACTAATCGTCAAAGAAATGCAAATCAAAACCAGAATGAGGTATAACCTCCATCAGTCAGAATGGCTAGTATAAAAAAGACAAGAAATAATAAGTACTGGGGAGGATATGAAGAGAAAGGAACACTCATGCACTGCTGGTGGGAATGTAAATTGGTGTGGTCACTGTGGAAAACAGTGTTGAGGTTCCTCAAAAAATTAAAAATAGAAATACCATATGATCTAGGAATTCCACTATTGGGTATTTATCCAAAGGAAATGAAAACACCAATTTGAAAAGACATATGCACCCCAATGTTTACTGCAGCATTATTTACAATAGGCAAGATATGGAAGCAAGCTAAGTGTCCACTGACTGATGAATGGATAAAGAAGATATAGTATATACATACACTGGAATATTACTCAGCCATAAAAAGGAATGTAATCTTGCCATTTGTGACAACATGGTTGACCTATAGGTTACTGGGCTATGTGAAATAAGTCAGAGAAAGACAAATGCCATATAATCTCACTTACATATGGAATCTAAAAAAAAGAAAAACACATGAACAGACAAACAAACAAACAAAAATAGACCCATAAACAGAGAACAAATTATTTGTTGTCAGAGGGGAAGAAGGTGGGAGGATGGGCAAAATGGGTGAAGAGGAGTGGGAGAGACAGGCTCCCCATTAAGGGATGAATAAATCATAGGAATAAAAATATAGCATAGAGAATATAGCCAATGATACTATCATAGTGATGTATGGGGACAGATGGCAGCTACACTTGTGGTGAGCATAGCATAACATATAAAGATGTTGAATCATTATGCTGTACACCTGAAATTAATGTAACACTGTGTGTCAACTATACATCAATTTAAAAAATAAAATAAAATGTCACTTAGACTGTTCACTTGCTTTTTCTGTATAATTCAAATGAACTTATTATAAACTATTATTTTACATTTAAATCCCTAAGATTATAGGTAGGAATAAGAACTATCCGTCACTTTCTAGAAGGCATATACACAAGAAAGGACAGATGTTTAAAAGGATCTACTCTATAGTTCCCTAAAGTAACTCAACTTTTATGTTACAAACCATAGTCATTATTTATCTTTCTTTTAAAAAACACCCTGGATGGGGCACCTGGGTGGCTCAGTCAGTTAAGCAGCTGCCTTCAGCTCAGGTCATGATCTCAGGGTCCTAGGATGGAGTCCTGCATCAGGCTCCTTGCTCAGCGGGGAGCCTGCTTCTCCCTCTGCTGCTCCTCTTGCTTGTTCTCTCTCTCCCTCTCTCTTTCTCTCTGACAAATAAATAAATAAAATCTTTAAAAAACAAACACCCTGGATAACAAGAACCTGAAACTATCAAACTAGAACATTCTTAGAATCCAGGTACTATAGGTGCAATGGAGAGGAGAGAGTTGACTCTTAGA